TGATTGTTGTTATGAACATAATTTGTGGGGCGAATAGGTTAGGTTGTACATAATTAAAATTTTGTTGACTAAAATCATTTGGTTTTTGTGAAAACTGTTTAGCGGATTCGATAGAAGTATTAGGCAAAATTTTTGATTGAATTAGAATTCTGAAGAGATTTTGTGTATACTGAAATTTTTCCTCTTCCATGATTTGGGTCATAGCTAATTCTATACAGCTGAAGTTTTATAATACTTATAATACTTTGTAACTGTTCTGGTAATCTTCTAATAAACTTCCTTAACCAAATTTCGTCGTATTATATCGAAGGGAAATGCATTAATTTTTGGAGCAAGGATGCATCTTAAGCTTGTAATCTTTTCCCACGATCTAAAGAATGCTCATTTTTAAAATGAGTGGCCATTAACAAATCCAGTTCTAAACATTCCAAGTTTCGTATATCTCCAAAATAATTTAACAAAGCTGCTTTTGTATTATCCCACTTTGCTAACTCCATTCTACATCCTACTAGAATTTATGCGCGATATACAGGTTTCATTCTTCGAGTCCTTAATAAATATTGTTTTAAAATGTCTTCGTTTCGTTGGTCATATGTATAAAAAAAAATCTCCAGCTGATTGAAAACTATTTAAAGTGTTGGGATTTTTATATGGCAGAATACGGTCTAAACATTTTTACCAAAATGTAATTTACCGTTGCATTTGACGATTGATTAGAATTCATTTTTTAATTGATATGACTATTTTCTACTTTCTTTTGCACTAAATTTAAAGAAGTAAAGAACTCACTTACGTTTTTATCTTTTTCTTAAAATTGAACTTAAAACTAAGAATCCTAAAATTATTTCCGCCGTCCTAACAAGCGAAGATGAAAGGAGAACAATAGTTCTCTCTCTCTTAGTCGTCAGACTATTCTTCCAATTGGAATCTTCCTTGCGTAGCGCTGCTTGCGAGGGTGATTTATTTTCTTCTTTACCCTCAATTGAACTCAATCACGTTGAGTTTCTCAGACAGTCTATCACTGGTTTGTTTTGGAGTTTACGGATTGAAACCCACATTTCGCGATCAAATCGTCCTGATGACGCGGCATTGACTGAAAACTAACCCAAATCTATAACAACCGCGTAAGTAAGTTAAGGTTTTCAAAGGAGGGGTCTAGTTTTTTAAAACACGGAGCTACGAGCTTTACATTAAGCCGCTACAAGGAGAATTGAAATACAAGATACATTGTACACATATTTTTAACTTTCTTATGCGAACGTCGCGTAGCATATACTGAAAATGCTGTAATAATGAGGATATTCCATCACGTAATTAATGTGTTTGGTTAACTTTTTAAGTCCTTCGTTTTCTAGGCACACAGTCTAGCATCCTCGAATAAAGTTGTAATTTTTGAAAGGAATCAGTTTTTAAAACGGTATTCCGAAGTTCAATAATTTAACTGGCGCAGTCGGTAGTATTTATATTCAACTATCGAAAGAAGTCATTTCAATTCAATTTCAATGTCTTCAGAACAATTAACAAATATTTTTTAGGAAATTAAGTATTAAACAATTCGTCCTTAGCTGACTCTTATTCTACTTCTCATGTAGAAGTGTTGGCAAGACTTCCTTAATTACTGATAAGAAATTGAATTTATCAAACAATGGAAGCAAGTGTTTAAACACCAAAAATAAACCCTAAATAAATGACAATAAATTTTTTCTCCCTCAATTTTTCAATGCAAAAATCAATTGCACAGTAGAATCAATTACATCTATTCCAGAGATAGATGAAAACTCCAAATTAGGTATCTTTGACACATGTTCTGGTAGCCAAGCTTATGAGAAATAATCCTATGGTCACCCCAATTTAACGAAAATATTTCTTTACACCATGCGGATAGCGCATACATTTTTTAAAAGTATTTGAATAAAAGCTAATTTCATTCTTTTGGGACAATAAAAACAAGAAATAGGAAATACAATATCAAAAATAAAAGGCAATGGTACACACAAAAAATAACAATAAGAGCAAAATTTATGTTGAACTACGATTTCTCTAGAATAATAACAAAATTACAAAAAATAGTATATTATGCAACAAGTGTGATAAACGGCATTTGAGTCACGAGTTTATTTCGCGCGAGTGGAGCGAGTCTTAATAAACGAGTGAATTAAAAAGTTTTCCGCACGTGTTGCATGATATACTTTTTATACGACCGTTAGTTTTTGGGTACAGATTTGCAAAACAACACAAATACAGAACACAAGAATTGAGAAAAGTCAAAATTAAAGCCGTGCGTTAAAGTCTCCTAAAACATCCGATTGCTTCCAAACCCGTTTTAACATCCCGCAAATGGCTCGAATCCATAAGAAACGAAACTAACCATAGTAAAGTAACGCTTTCCGGCCTATAGATTGGTGTATATTTAGGTATTTTACAGAAGGGAGTAGAAATCTTCAAATCTTACGGATTCGTAAGGCGGTTTTCGATCAATCGAACTTGCTGATGTTTCGCCAATTATCATGTTGCCTTTTTAAGAGTTTAACTGAAACTGGCTCGCGTGCTACCCTTTACATGGTTATAAATTATTTCAGGGAGGCGGAGCTAAAGGAGGGGCATAAGCGTTGTCTCAGATTCCCATAATGAATGCTCGCATTTTTCTTTTTTAGAATTGATTAAATGTAAGAATGTTAGTTTAATCGAATAACATTTGATGTTCTGTTTTGTGATTGTGTTCGACAACTGCTCATGGGTTTATTTGTTGCAGTCTTAAGCCTCTTTCATGTTCTTTCAGCCTGGTTGATATTTTTAGTCCGGTCTCTCCAATGTATTCCTTGCCCCATATACATGGAATGCTGTAAACTTCTGGTTGTTGAGAGATTTTTGGACAAGTAATAAATCTGGTTTTGGCATTTTATTTGATATGTGGTCAGTGATGTTTTGAATACAAGGAAGGATAACAGTGGCAAGTGTGGGGTTCCGTTAGGACTTATTGTCCTTTAAGGTTGTTTTGAAGCTTATTTTGTGATGGAAAATATTAGAGAGAAGCGTAGAAGAGCAATTTTGGGTCCAGTGACTCATTTTTAGATAGTTTTACGACTCTCTCTCAGAAGGGGAGGAGACCCCGTATCATCTGCTCACTGAGTGCCCTGCTTTGAAATGGGCAAGATTTGGAGTCTCCGGGACGCCCCTGATCGATCCGGATTCAGTACACGGTATTGGGCTAAAGGAGTTGCTGACCTTCTATAGGAGAGGCGGCATTCTGGACGCCCTCTAGCGCGATCTAAGGGCACAACGGGCCCATGTGCTTGGACGCCCGTGGGGGCGCCTCCGTTTAATACAAATGCGGCTCTCTAAACAATAGTTGACAAGCCATGATTTTTGGCCGGATGAAGATGTGAAAACGCTGAGTGATCCCACGCTGAGTGCGTGGGATTTCTATAAATGGAATAACCCAATTTTAGGTCTGACTTCCTTTTGATCAGCAAATCTAGGAATGCGAGATGGCGAAAAGTATGTTAGGGTGTATAGACTTTAATGGATAAAAAAAACTCGTAGGTATTCTTAAACATGAGACCAAATAACAAAAGTATGGGAATCAGCCATCCGTCGACATTCATGCCACTCATTTAGCTCCGCCCCCCTCATATAATATATAAGAAGGTACAGAGTAGAATTCGCGCCAGTTTCAGTTAAGCACAGAAGAACCCAACAGGATGATTGGCGAAACGCCAGCAAGTTCGATTCATCAACAACCAACGTAGGAGGAATCCAGAAGATTTGTAAATAGTATTTAACAACCTGTGGAAGTTTCGTTGAAAAATTAAAGCTGGTGAACAATTTAAACATAACAGAAGAATCAACAGAATGTTATAATAATAATGTATCAAGCAGCACAAAGTTTAATCATTTTAATAACTTTTTTTTCAAAATAATAACATATTATGAAAAGCCAAGAAAGCTAATAGTAGCAGATAAGCACTTCCCAAACAATTTTCAAAAACATCTCACGGACTGACGAATTTCGCGGTTGTTAGTTTAACACCTATGCAGAGTTCATAGGGATATAGATTTTCGTCAACACTTTTTTTTCAAATTTTTCAAATTGTTTTGCAAAACCTACCAAGAATAATAAAGTTGAAGTATATTGAAAAATTTGTGACATAAATTGTAGTAGTAATGACATGTGAAACGCTAGTTTTAATCATGAAACGAGACTTTAATAGTAAATTAAGTTTAGATATTCCTACGAAACTTGTAAGTAGTCTTTTACACTTATCTTCCAGGGTAAATGGGAGAAACACTTTCCAAAGTGGACAAAACAATTGTAATTGCGTAATCTTGTTGCTAATACGGAAAGAAAATAATCAGGAAAATTTCCTATCAGAGCCTCATAGTTTTGGTAGCCGTTGGTTTAATAACGTTATTTGGGTGGGAGATTGTCAAGCACAATTCCCTATTTACAGCTGTCATGCCGATATACTCAGAACATTTTCGTAAATCTGTGGAGAGATTTCACTAAGTGTGAGATCTTCAATATACTATGTCAAATAACGCATTTGTCGATCTTTCCTAGCATGTCTAAATTAAATTTTCGAATCATTTAACCAAAGTGTATCCTTCCTTATTTTTATTTTAAAATTATAAAGTAGATTTTTTTGAATGATGTAACAAAGTTTTCTACGTGATTCCATGGTTGACTGTGCATAAATATGTTTAATAGGAAAATTGCTTAGGTTTAATGGCCAGATGCGACATGTGTGATGTGATAAAAAAATCATAAATAACAATTGATACATTTGTTGATAAACTTTCTTAAAAATGGGTGTCAAGGCAACAAAAGTAAATTGCTCTAAGCATGTTATTTAAAAAACGAGCCAGTGTATAAAGCAAAATATTAATAAATAAAATCTTATTAACAAAAAATAATAATTATAAAGGGTTATAAAAGAATGCAAATTTCACATCTGTTCATTTGGTCGAAATGAATTAAATTTATACTGTAAGTCACTTACCGCATAAACTGCACCCAATGGCATAACTAAGCATGCTACCATCAAATCCGCAACAGCAAGGGAGACAATTAAGTAGTTCGCTACGTTCTGGAGATTCCTCTCGAGAAGAATGGCCGCTATAACAAACACGTTACCTAAAAATAGGAATAAACTGAATTACTTCTAAGTTGTTCGGGCTTTTATGTTGAAAATTCATTCGGCAATCAATCTCATCAAATGGAACACGACATCATCAACGTAATATGAACATATAGTAAAAATTTTCTGAGCTCATCCGTATGATGGTGATTTGAGATTATAATTATTTCTGAACACATCATTAGAATGACGATCCCAGCCGATAATTGTAGACAGCGAAATAAGATTTACCATATTGGGATGTATTCTTTTCTTTTGGTATTGTATTTGGAGCATCCACGATATATTGTCACAGGAAGAACGTGAATTCCTTTTAAAGCGTTCGGGTTACAATGTTAAAAATTAAGGCAGCCAGCAATCTCATCAAATGGTATAGAACACCATATATTTCATATGAGCATATAGTAAAAATGAAGTCGAAGGAGAGGCGTAAATACGAATGTGCTTAGCTAGAATCATCCAGGACAAGAACGCAGAGTTTCAATCCAGAATTTTACCTGCATTTGACAATATACAAGGCGGTAGTCTCGCCACTGGTAGACGCAGATTTAGATTACCGAAAATAGCATTTAAAAGCTACGGAGGTAGTATTTAAGACAACCTTTCATTTTCGGCTCAATTTAGAAAAATACATAATGATTCGAATATTAATGAAAAGCATAAAATTGAATACTTAGTTCAAGCCACGATACCGCATATCAAAGCGCGACAGTTCGTTCTATGTTAAAAGAAAACTATTAAAAAATAAATTTGAATAATATAACAATAAAAGGTAGAATCAGTCACGAACGCCTAAACTCGCGTACCCCAAGATTTTATTAGTACAGTTCATCAACCAGTGCTATGGGGGAATATACACCAACTATATGACAAAAGAGGAAGAAAATGAACAACATGTGTGCTTAGCTGCTGAATAATAAAATAGACATAGGAAACCGATAGCACCCATTTCTACTGGCTACTGGCATGGTAAATTTGCTAGTCATTAAATAATTAAATGGCAACCACATTTGGTTGAGGCCCATGATCAGCTAACCATCTGCAATGATAGAGTGCCAATATTTCACCAACTGTAGACTAAAGAACTAAAATTCCTGCCTTGACGGATATAGGCTTATCTGGGTCCATTGAACTTCTTCTTGGAACAAATGTTGCAGGCAGAATTTACATGCGTCAACTTCCTCATTTAGAATGGCTGGCTAATATTCCATCAAACCGAATGAATGAACGTATTTTGAATTTGCTGATAAAACAAGTTAGCATTAGCAAAATTATAATTTTAACATTCCAAGTAACAGCGTATAAAAACACTTATAAAGAATATTAATTTTTACAAATTGCACTTTTGTAGGAATTAATAAAATTATTAAAGTATTACTCAAAAAATCCAAATACCTGTTTTAAACTGGCATAACAATTTTGACGCACTTATAGACTCAAAGGAGCTTAAAAAATTTAAGCACTCCAAAATATCAAAGCATCGTTTTCTCGACCCCTCAGCATACCTTGAACTATGAGAATAATATAATACCCGAGGGATTAACGTTGTATCATTATTAATCCAACATTCACGTTAATTTCTATGAAAATGTAAAGGTCACACTAAAAGACTAATTTGAAATGCTTGTCCGCCCATCTAAAAGTCGTAAACAACGTAATCAGATTATTTTAGCCTTGAAAAATCAAAAATTGTACCTCTTCTTTCCGATTTTACACAAAATTCTTTGTAAGAAAAAATATCGTATGGTTATAAACTATTTTCATCTCATCTGTCTGTCTGTTTCTCTGGGAATAAATAGATTTTAGACAATCTTGAAAAGTGTACCCAGTTGACTACTTGACACAAGAATTTCACCAAATCGAAATAGGTACAAAATAGATCGAATTAACGACATTTATAGTAAACCAAAATCATTTTGAATATCTTGGAATGTCGTTTGATCTGAAAAATGCGCATGCCACTTTCCAGTGCATGACGCTGTCATATTCTCGAAATCTCTAACTCAAAAGTTTAACCAGACAAATCGGAATTTTTCTGTAAAGAATTTGGCATATAATAACCCCAGAAGGTGTTAAACCGAACGTTGTACAATAGAACCGGCGCAATGTTATCTAATCCCTAAAACACAAAAGCAGGGGAAGCATTCCTAGCTCTGCTAGGATATTATAGCGGATTTATTGAAAAAATTGCAAAAATCACGTTTCCACTAAGTGTCTTTATAAAGTAAAAAAAAGTAATATAAGTAATCAAGATTATCAAAACATCATCATGAAATGCAAAAAACAAATTTCGTCATTCTCTAGAATCTCGATTTTTCGAATCTTCTCGAATTGGCACCGTACTGCCCCAAAATGATCATCCTATAGCTTTCTACTTCTGGACCCTTAATAAAGTAGATGGAAATTATCCAACAATTGAAAAAGTTCTTTAATCGATCATAGATTCCACTAAACATTTCTGTCACTATCTACGTCAAAAGTTTGTCATCGAAACGAACCATAATCTACTGGCCGAAATTAAAGGAACCAATTCTCGCCTTATTTCTTGGACGCTCAAAGTCGATGAATTCAATTTCGAGATCACATATAAAAAAGGAAAAGAACCTTTCGTGACAGATGATTTCTCCTGAATAGACATAAATGCTTTACGCGAAAGTGAAATACAATCGAACATCCCCGATGTTGAGGACTTCGATTTAGAAGATTTTATTATTAACGAAAAATACAATGACCCAATTCCTACCTCGATCCAAAACAAAAAGTCCGAATCAGATAACTAAATGATAACGATTGTGGCTTCACTGGCCATAGTAAAACCAATCAAAAATTTCAGAGTTACATGTAAGTCATCCATTCATAATCGATGTATAATTAGAATTCTCAAGGAAATTATGAAACCAGATGATGAATTTAATGTAAGTAATTAAAGCCCATCGTCCAAAGTTAGCACATGTAAAATATTAATTTTAATATCTTCATATTTAAAACCCTGCACAATTACAGATTCCTTTTCGAAACATGCAAACTAATATATACTGTTTCTTACCACAATACACCGAAAAAAATCGTTTCTGGCCAACGCTTAGGATCTTAAATTAACTTACTCATGGAGTTTTGTCATTTATTCTGTATCGAAATTCATTGCAGTATCCTCGGTAATTCTCCTTCTAACAGTCCAATAGAAAGAATACATTTTCTTTTGATTTATGACGAAGGTATCTACTCCACAACCGGTTATTCACCGTTTTCTTTACTATACGATTACTACATAAACCAACCAAACATGGACAATAACTAACCCCAGAACTAACCAAAGCTAACCAAGCACTTCTCGCCAAAAAGATACCGAATATTGGAAATCATGGAAAATACTCTTCTAGTTATTTAGATTACATTGTCAAAGCCGAATAACAATCTTTTAATGATTGGTCCTATAGTGTATTCCTGACCACTTATGCAACGTAAGTGAAGTATAATGTTTTTGAAATATGTAACTTCATGCGGGGAAAACGAGGTTTAATGATCTCCATAGAAAGTGGTATCAAATTTATTACTTGAAGTGTAGACAATAGTAACCTAGAAACAATCACTTAAAATTTGAAAATATTGAAGTACAATCAGCTTAAATCGACGGGCAAAATGTGTTTTGTGCCTAATCGATCACCAGATTCAAGGTACAAAAACCCAATTTTTTTTCCCATTTCCGACCCGCACTACTTCGTTTAAAATCACCATCTTTCATCTTTGTTTTCGTTAGATATCGGCACTACTGCACTTATCGCCTTCCTGGTCGGTATCGAAGCCAAGTTAAAACAAAACTTCAACAGCGATTCTTAGGAGATTGAAGCATCGAATGGGCATTTTGGAAGGAAGAAAGAGAATGATTTCAGTGAATGTAACCAACACTAACTAATACCGTGGACAAAAATTTTAGTTCAGTTAGTTTAACTTTGTAAGCTATGACCAAACGACGTACTCAATAGGCGTAAACCCTCAAAGATGAACCTTTTATTCATAGCCCAAATGTTAATCCTTCCTTTCTTATAGATTTTTTTTAGATCTTTAATAAAATTATCTCCGAAAACTCGGACATTTTGGTCCCAAACCCATACGATAATATCCCGAAGGGACTCGGATAAGTGGGAACTAAGCTTACATGGTAAAGTAACGCTTTCCGCACACTAGATCGGTGTAAAATCAGGTAGTTTACAGATAACGTGGAACAAAGTCAACAATTTAAATCCCTGTAACTTTTTCTCGGTTAATCACCAAAAATAATAAAAGTTCTGGTAGATCAATTAAACAAACGCCTTTGGTATTTTGAACAATGTAAATTTAGTTTTTATTTTTTTCCGATGTCATTCAAAACGATATAAAAAAATAAAGGCAACTTTTTTTGCCTTTTCGAGCTCTACAAGATAGTGGGGAAAGAACGTAGAGATTTTAGATACGACGTTTCGTTTCGACGAAATCATCGTCAACTTTATTGCTCCGTGAAAAAACTACATTATATATTGAAGAGCATACGACACAATCTGATACAATATGTCATTGTTTAAATCACCAAAAATGGGTTTTATAAAATTTTCAATGTTTTGGTGTATTAGGTGCTAATATAATTTATAAAAATTATTGCATTATTAAATATAAAACAACCTCCAGATAATCCGTGTAACACAACGAAAAAGCCTAATTTTTAATTTTTAAAAAATAGCATCAGCATTAGTATTATCTTGCTGCCAATTTTGACTTCGTCCAATGAAATTTCTAAAATACACATATTCACAGAAAAATTGAAATTTTATGAATTTACCTAATTGTCAGAGGTAGGCAAGGAAAAAACAGGTGATCTAGTATACATACACAAGGAATATAAAAAACTTTTAAATAGTTTAAAACCACACGGGAGGGAGTTATTGTCGATTTAAAATTTTAATTTTCTTTTGTGCCGTGATGTTATTTATAGGAGGTCGGACGACGAAAAAATTTCTTCTCT